GATGTACAGTTTTTAAAGAATATGCTGTCAACCTTTAATTAATTCAAAATCAAAAGCTCTAAAAATAGGAATATGGCAATTTGGTACCGTTCAACCTAACAGAAAAAACTAAACTCTGATGATGTACACTGAAATGCCAGTTGTGACCATGTATTTACGGTAATTTTAGAGGGATTTTTATTCTGTTTGTGCTTTCTATGGTTAAACTTTTTCCACAGTGCACATGCATTGTTTGTGTATCAAAAATCATTAAATACTTAATGCAGATCACTAGAAGCATGAAAAAATCAATGTTTCACCTTTTATAGTGACAATTTAGTACGATTTATTTTAGTAGTCATGTAATTTGACAGCTTATTGGTAGTTAATTTTTTTTTTTTTAATCAGTACCAGGGATCGAACTCACAACCACCCGCTTGCAAGGCAGGCACTTAAGCCACTGAGCTAAATCCCCAGCCCTGGTAGTTAAATTTTATTCAAAACACTATATTTATGTTTGGAAGTTTACAGCGATTTCACAATTCTCCTTCGATCATGTGACATGGATTTGGATTTTGCAAAATTCATTTTCCCTAGTGGAGTATGACAACATCAAATTCTATACTTAAATTACAGGTGTTAAAGTTTGTCCTTCGTCTTGATTATTGCTCATGAATGAAAAAGTGTTCTCAATCTTTAATATAGAGATTAGCATAATTTTCTCCATTTACATTTACTTGAATGTTTATTCTCGCTTTATATTTTAGATTGAGGATATTTTCATTAACGCTTTCAACAGAGAGGCTGGCTTTCTTCACATACCCGTTCCCTCTCTGCTAACCCTCACCCTAACCCTTAAATGAGCATGGGGATTTTATTTTTGTAAATTTCACATATCTTGTGCCACCTTTTTGCCCTATCAAAACGTTTTAATAGAGAATGGACAGTAGCAGCTGTACTGGTAACAGAATTTTTTTTGTTTTGAGTAACTATGTGAAATTAATAATGGGGTTTGCTAAAGTAGAAGCTGCAGGCAGATAAAACTTGAGCAGTGATCTGGAGTTACAATAAAAAGAGACATCGACCTGGATGCATGATGCAATTAAATGATTACTACTGCTTCCTAGTGGAAAACTGCTGTATCTTTTTTTGTTTTTTGTCTTTCTTTAAGGCCATTTGTTGAAGTTCTTTAATTCTTTGTGCTTGTCTATTTCCCCAGTATAATAAATGATATCTTAATGGGTGAACAATGTGTTGTTTTTCCTTGTAGAAAAGGTCCTATAATTTAGATTTTTCATTAAACATTCTGAGACTCAAATGCTATTAAACCTTTCTTTACGTTTGACATTTTCCTTCATGTGCCTTTCTGTGTTAGAACTCCCAGATTTGGTGGTTCTTTGTGGAGGCCCACAGGACAATTTCAGGACACATAGCACAGTTAGAACATCTGCGTTGGTCGCACAGCAGAGGGGATCTCTTGGTTTCTGAGCAGCAGTTACTTTTAAATGAGTGCCATGTGCTTTTTGATTGTCACCCTGGATGCATAGCTGGTGCAGTGTAACAGGATGCAGTTCTCAGCGAGAATGATTAACTGGCAGTCAGCGCCGAGGGGCACAAGGAGAGCTGTGCGTAAGGTGTGAGCCAACATGGGACAGTTGGAGAGATTTCAAATAACGAGGGAGCAGCGTGTGTTAGACTTCAAACGGCAATGTTCTGTTCTTTTCTTTTTTTTTTTTTTTTTTTTTGAAAGTCCTTTTAAGTTCCTTAATCCAAACCATGCCCACCAGAGGAGGATTAAGCCATGACTGGACTTCGGACCAATGCAGAAAAAAATGAAGGTAAAACTCTATAGGACCACTAATTCAGAAACATGAGATAATCACTTGCAAAACAGCAGTCTTGAGAAAAATGAAATGCTTTCAGGTTATATATAGGAAATCTTAATTCCACTAAAACAAGATATTCTTAAAACTTTTGATGATCTCTCTATTGATCTTTGGTTTTGAGCTTATTCTGGAATTATTTTTTAAAAGCAGATTAATTGAAGTGTTTGAAGCATGTGTAATATGTTTTAGGGTTGACTTACTTTAATGCACTGGGAAGTCATGAAGCATGTGCACAGATACATTGACAGCTGAAGTAGAATAGAGGAAGAGACATCCTCTTGAGTTCCTTTTTCCATAAGAGTACCGTCTGAATTCCTTGCAGATTTATTAACAGCGAGGTAACTAACTCTGAAGTGTGTGAGTGGGGCAAGCAGGCCAATTCTCACTGTCATACTTGGTCCTAGGTCTTGTAAAGTTCCATTTTGCTCCCTTTTGGGGAGTCTTAGGTAAATAATGCTAATATAAATGTGAGTTGTCAGCTGCTGGTTGATGCTGTGTCCCTGGGTTTCATTCACGCTGCCTCACTTAACCCTGCCAACACCCTGAAGAATCTTCCTTGGACGGAGGAAGAAGTCACAGCTCAGGGATAGCAGTAGGAGTCCTGCCATGGGCCTCTCCCAGAAACAGCAACGATTCTCTGCATCTAGTGGTAGCAGGAGGCGTGCAGGCCAATGGAGGGTGCTCTTGAGAAGGGTTCAGAGTGTCTGAGTGTCCATCGAAAGGACAAGAGGCACAGGCGTGGGCACAGTGACGTCTGCCATTGGTTGAGCACCACCTTACTTCCTCATTACTTCAGAGCTGTGCTGGCCTGGAGACACCGCAGGATTCAGAGAATAGTGTGACTAGGATGGGCCTGAGGGGAGCCGTGGGCTTCTGGACAGGCTTGCCTGCCCATCTTCTGCAGCTGTTGTGGACAGCAGGGGGAGCTAAAGGCCAGAAGCCTCTGCAGAAGAGAGAGCCCCAGACTTGGGACTGACCCCAGATCTATGCTCTTGCTGTTGTGTCAGACATCTTCCTGTAAACACAGGCATGGGATGGAGGACGATGTGAAATGTAAGGGACACATGAGAGTCACAACAGTATGAGAAAATACAGAAGGAATACACGTGCGATAACATGCATTTGGGTCAGCTTCCTTTCCTGTTTATGTTGCTTTGGTTAACATTAGTTTGCATTCCTTGTGCATACATACCTTAGAGGATGAGAAGACAGCTCAGAGGTACTAAGTGTGAGCCATAGTGCATAGCTGACGATAAGCAGACCCCTGCGCTGTGTATTATCTGTCGTGCTGCTGAGATCGGGTTGGAGTGGGAGCTGCAGTGTGGGAATCAGAGGGGGTAGGAGGCGAAGGTACATGGTGTGGGCCACTTGGACTGTTAACAGTAAGATCTGACTTGTTGCGAATCCCTGATAACACCTCGAAGGTGGTGTCGCTCTTCAGAGGTGAGGCAGTGGAAACAGATGGTGGGCAGATTGTGCTTCGGAACCTGTTTACCCCAGGAGCTGGCCAGAGATCTGAACTGGTAGCAGTCTGGCCTCTTGTTAGAGTCAGCTGAGTGTCCTTCTTAGATTCGTCAGGCAACAGCTGGGACTCTTGCAGCTTGTTAGGAGTTGGCACTTATTGCCATGAACCAGATAGCTGTGGAATTAGCAGTTTAAACCCAGGCAGACATATCTGCTCCTGGGCTGGGTCAGAAGCCCAGGGCTGTCTCTCTGTAGCATAGGAGCCCAGTCTGCTTACAGGCTCGTGCGAGGTTTGGCCAGAGTTCTAGTCCCTTGCAGTTGTGCTGTCCAGTAGGGATGCACAGCCCCTCCACAGTGACAGAGAATATGTGTGTGGTCAATGACAGGGAATGTGCCTGTCGAGTCCCCAGGACAAGCATTGTCCTGTGGGAAGGCCTGAGTGGGCCTGGCTTGCCCTTTGAGAATTCAGCTCTGCTGTAGAGCATTACAGAGGCAGGGGTTACCTGTCACAGTCATTGTAAGGGGGTTATGCAGGGTGGGCACAGCCAGGAGCAGATGGCTGGGTTACCTTAGGGTTCTGCTCATATCCTATGAGCAGTTCAGAGGACTTAAGGTCTACAAGCAAGTCTAGAAATGACACTTGGCTCATCCAGGGTGAGTGATGGAAAATGTTTTCTCACAGACACCTCAAGGACATGTGTGCTGGGGCTCTTGCTGAGTGGCAAGGAGAAGGGTGGTTGTCTAGTAACTCTGGCCAGGTATTACTGGAAGGGCCACTGCTCTTTTGTTCTGAAGTTGCTCTTTTTCATAGATGTTTCATATCAATGTTGGGTTAATATTTCTGTACAAAATTTTTAGATGACAAAGGTTGATTGACTTACTAGCCAGGTTACATGGTTGGTAAACAGCAAAGCAAAATTGTGTATCACTTTCTAATACTCCACAATGGCTGCATAACTAACCTTTTTTCCCTTAATTTTTGCATGGTGGTAAAATATACATAGTATAAAGTTTGATGTGACAGATACAGTGGTGTTAAATATGTCCCTACAGCTGTGCCACCCTCCCCACCGTCTGTGTCCAGAACTGTGTTCTGTGACGTTGAAACGCTGCCCTGTTAAACAGCCCCCCACCTCCCTGGGGCCTTTCCACCCCTGGGAGCCCCATTCTGCTGTGTGCACTCCTTCAGTGGCTCCACCTGCCTCAGAGTGGACTCGGCGCCTGTCTTTTCGGGATGGTGGACCTCACTCGGGGTCCTCCGGGAGCCTCACCTTGTGCTCCCATCAGTTTCCTCCCTGACAAGGCTGAACACCATTCCATTCCTAGTGCACATATACATGGTTTTTTATTGAGGGCTCACAGCGTGCCAGGCACTGAGCTGTGGTCACAGTTCTCCAGGACTCCAGGTCTCACCTGGTACCTAATTTATACTCCAGCTAAGAATGTGAACATAGTGACATAGGCACCTGAGCTAGCCCAAGGTCACTGGGAAGTTGGTCCACAGAGGAGCAGCCACTTGTCGAAGCGTGGATGATGTGAGTCGGGAGGGGAGCAGCACCTAAAGGCTGCTGCGCGGTGACGTGGAGGCGGCGCAGCTGCCTGGGAGGGAGGACCATCATGTGGAAGTGCGTGTGCAGACTCCGCTCTGATGCCAGTGTTGTGCCTCCCCAGCCGAACTGGATGCGGAGCATGCGCAGAAGGTCCTGGAGATGGAGCACACGCAGCAGATGAAGCTGAAGGAGCGGCAGAAGTTCTTTGAGGAGGCCTTCCAGCAGGACATGGAGCAGTACCTGTCCACCGGCTACCTGCAGATCGCAGAGAGGCGCGGTGAGCAGGGGTGGCTTGGGCCGAGCCAGGGGAGCTCCATGCTGCACGTGCACCGCAGAGTCCAAGTATGCCCGTCAGGGCCTGTCTGGCCTGCGCTCATTAGGCCTCTTATTGCAGTTCTAAATTCTAGGTAAAGATTTTAAAAGTCTTTTAAAGTTACAAATGATAAGCCAGGTTTGCTGGCACACACCTAGAATCCCAGCACTCAGGAGGCCGAGACCAGAAAATCACTGCAAGTTCAAGGCCAGTTTGGGCTACACAGTGAGTTCAAGGCCAGCCTCCGCTACATGGTGAGACCCTGTGTCAAAAACCAAAAAAAAAAAAAAAAAAAAAAAAAAAGAGGAAAATTGTCAGTTATGCTTCTAAAATTTGGAAAAGAATTTTTAAAATTTTATTTTATTTACTGTGTTATTTCTTTGGTGCTGGGGATTGAACCCAGGGCCTCATACATGCTAGGCAAGTGATGTACCGCTAAGGTACACACCCAGCTGAAAAAAACATTTTTAAGTGAAAAAAAAATAAATTACACATAATTCCAAAGCATAGCAAAATATCTATTACTGTTTTAGTGTGGTTCTTTTCAGTGTGTGTGTATGAGTTCGTTTATATGTAATTGGTAACTATACATCTATACGGTTTTGTATCTGACTTTTCTAAAGACTGTGTAAGGTTTTGCCCTCCATTATTAAAACTCCCTTGAGGAGATGGAGAGTTAACTCAGTGGGACAGGCCCAGGCTCGATGCTGGGGGAAGGAAAAGTCCACTGAGAGGGTGTTTCACAGGTGGTCTCGCTTCTCGGGAGACAGTCTGCCTAAGTCACAGCTGTCCTTAGTATCCCCAGGGGATGGGCTCAGGACCTTGTGCGCCTGCTCAAGCCTCTTAGAGAACATGGTATTGTATTTGCATGGAACCTCTGCACATCCTCGAGTGGGCCTTTAATCTTCTCTAGAAGGCACTGTGTCTGTGCTTCCCTTAGGGAAGAGTGCGTGCACGTTCAGGCCAGACGTAGCCGCCTGCCGGGGGTCTAATGTTTGCACTCGAGGCTGCTTTCGTCTGCAGCTCTGAACCCCTGTGAGTGGGGAACAGCTGGGTTTGATCAGTTCCTATGCTGAGCCTTGAGGTTTCTTACTCTGAAATGGTGCTTGGAGGGACGGCTGGACCCTCCCCCCCGCAGCTCCTGCCCCATCCCTACCACGTGCGCATGCGCACAGGTGCCCCGGGCCCCTCTCCCAGGTGTTGGCTCACTTGCCTGGAGCACACGGGCACACACACACACATCCCGCCCCATTTATCCTGTCACTGTGCTTTGTCCCTTCCTTTTCATGCATGTTCCCTCCCAAGCTAAAGAATCCAAGTGTGGGGACACAAAATAATGTAGACAACAGACTAAAGTCCTGCCCGGATGCCGCTTCAGGGAGGCCGAGAGTCCACAGGGAGACCCAGCAGTGAGGTTTCCCGTGTAGAGCTCGAGCGCCAGCCTCTTCCACGGTCCTGATGGCCGAGGTGCAGCCAAGGTACTCAGTGCCCAGCTGCTTGCACAGGGCAGCCTCTGTGTCCCCTCAGGGAGGAGATGAGGGTGTGCACCAGGCTCTGTGTCCTGTCCTGGCCACTGTTTGTCATCACAAAACACTGAACCGGGGGACCCAGGACCCAAACAGCAGACCTTCTTTATCCCAGCGTCGTGGGTAGTTTCTGGCCTGGCGAGGCGCCCTCCTCCCTGGGTCTCACAGGGCTGCACACCTCCCCACACCGCGGCCCCTGCCTCTACACCCGTCCTCCCCTTACCCCCCGCCTCCCTCCTCCCGAGGGCACTGTGGCCCAGGCTGCAGCATCCTCCACACTCCGGCTGGAGGCAGGCGGCGCAGCGCCTTAGACACATGGTGGTTCAATAGTATGGGTCTTTGTGGTTTTGAGCATCTCAAGAATAATTTTCTTCAAGTTTCAAGGAAGTGTCTGGCTCATTCTTTTAAGGGTAAAAAAAATAATGGATCCAGGCACATGTTGCCAATATGTGGTTTTAAAGCACCAATGAATATTTGTGCCTTGGGATTTTTTTTGCTTTTTTGTCTCAGCGAGAGCTGAGGAGACCACCACATAAGGTCATCAGCCTGACAAGGTCACTTCCCTTCCTGAATGCGGCGTCTTCCTCCCCAAAGGTGAAAACAGAAAGTTTAATTTAGAAGACTCAATCCAAATTAAAAATCTCTTCAGTGGACCATGGTGGTTTGGGCTCATTCCACTAAATCTGAAATAGAAGCCTAAGTTTTTTTTCCTCATACGCAATCCATCATGTTTAAGACAAGGCCATGGGAAGTTTTCTTCCGAAAGTGACCATCCCAGCTCCTGGATACCAGGAAGACGCCCATCTGTAGTCCCAGAGGCTGTGAGCTGGGCTGGTGGGAAGTGGGACCTTAGGGGGCCTCAATTCTCAGGAAAGCTGCTCAGTGCTCAGGTTGGGGGTGGGTGGAGTGTTCCTAGAGCACCGTGGCGTGGCGAGGTCGTGCTCTGTACCTTGTCTTCGGCTCTTTGATCCTACAGTGAGTGCAGTCTCCCTCGTGGAGAGTGGACCAGGGCCCCAGGAAGAGAATGAGGTGACATTTGTGCTGGTGATAACATTAACACCAGTGTGAGGAAATACAGAATTAACAGATAAAACTGCACCTTACTGTCCCCCAGAGACATTGTAGAATGCAAAGATGACTTAAAATACAGCTGCTGACTTGTGATTTTATCTTGATATAATTATCTCTCCAGGAGTTTTATTTAGAACTTTGAGAATTACTGTTGTACATTAGTGATTTTCAGTTTAATTAAAAAGTATTTTAAATATTGAGAAAAGAACTGTTAGTATAACATACCCACATTTCCAGACTTAACACATTAATATTTCCTTCAAATATTCAAAGACTATTATGATATTCTAGACATTACAGAAAAGCATAAGTAATATCCACATATCCCCCACCTGCCTGAAGAAATAAAATTTCACCAACCCTAAATCCCCTATTTCCCTTTCTGATCACACCCTGCTTCTTCACCAGCCTTTACACACACACACCCCAAGATGATACATGGTGTGCTTTGCAAGAGTTAAAGCCTCATGGAAGTAGTATTAGCACAGGGTGTGCTTTTACACGCCTTGCTCTCCCAGGCAGGTATCTTGGTGAGACCCCTGAGTTTGCAGCTCCCATTTACAGTGATGTCCATCCTCATTTACACTGAGGAGACGCACTGTCGTGTTCATCATTATATTGGGTATGCATCTGCCACATACTCAGGTATGTGTGTGTAGTTTTCCAGATCTTTTTTATTAAAACAGTGCTGGTGTGGACATTCTTATGTCTCTCCTAGGGGGCTGCTCTGGGCCAGCAGGTCTCCCAGGTGAGCAGAGCAGCCTCCCTCCCCTGAGCTGGGGTCCCACTTGCCTTGTGAGGTCGGGGAGGGGCAGAGGACTGGTATTATCAGTGCGGGTGATGGGGAAGCTGCTGCTCTGGGGACCACACTTTGCGAACCCTTTCTAGGGGAGTAACCACTCTTCCTGTGACACACGTGTGTTTACTAGACTCTGACATACTGCTTGCTAAAATGTGTATCAGTGCATAATCATCTTAGCTGTGATTATGCTGATTACATCTTTGTCAACCCTTCATGGTCAGCTATTTAAAACTTTTTGTCAAGGAGTTGTTTCCCTGCCCGAGCTTAGCGCCCACCCACTGAGCTCCCTGTGCCCAACCCAGCACCTTGGCTCGCTGGGGCTGGACCAAGCTAGGCCGCCAGCAGCATCATGAGGTGTGCGGCAGACCCAGGGGATGAAATGACAATGTCAGCCCTCTAGAAAGCCCTTGATCTGGTGACAAAAGCCACAGGGGAGAACAAAGCCAAGAACTGTGAGGAGGCGCTGTGGCTGTACCAGCAGGTCGCGGAATAAGTACTTCCTGCGTGCGTCAAGTTTGAGGCTCACAGTGACAAGGCCAAGGAGAGCATTGGCGCCAACTGCGTGCAACACCTGCACGGGGTGGGGAAGCCGAGGAATCATTTAAAAAACAAATACGGCATGAAACCAGTGAAAGAGAATAGGGGCGAACACAGTGATCCTGACAGCGAAGGGGACCATCCAGGGAAGCAGCTGCTGACGGTGGGTGCATGGATGTGGCCGGGCTGGAGGGCCAGGAAGGCTCTCACAGAAGCTGTCGTTTCACCAGTTCCCACCCTCGTTCACAGCCATGCATGTACCCTCAGCCAGGGATACTGCTCTTCGGACCCCTGGCACAGGAAAATCCTATCTGAGCAGAGCCAGAGGCCAGAGGCCAACAACTGCACCTTCTTCTGTGTCCTCCTCTGACCTGATGTCTGAGTGGTGGGGCTGAGAGAGAAGCTCGGGGAGAACCCTTGAGCTGGCCAGGCAGCACAAGCCCTCCATCATCGGGTCCTGAAAGGAGACAAGGGCGAGGCCGCTGGAGGATCCCAACAGAGCCCTGGTCCAGAGGCAGGGGCTGGGGAACAGAAGCGATGGGCCTTGGTTCTCAGTGCCACAGACGTCCCCTGGGCGCTGCACTCTGCCATCGGGAGGAAGTTCAGAAAGTGCATTGACATCCCATTGCCTGAGGACGCTGCCTGTGCCCAGATGTTCCGTCCGGTCTGCGGAGCACTCCCCACAGCTCGCAGATGCCAACATCCATGAGCTATCCCAGAAGACAGCTGCTCTGGTGCAGGCCTCCCTCACGCAGCCCATCGGAAGAGTCCAGGTGGCACCGCATGTCCAGGCCGCCCGTGGCCCTTCCCACACTAACCCTAGGGTTACCATAGGTGACGTCCTGACTGCGTGCTCACCAGGGGACCCAGGGGCCATAGAGATGACCTGGATGGACGCCCCGGTGACCGACTCTGTGGTCTGCATGTCTGGCATGCTCCATGCTCTGGCCTCACTCTGCACCCAGTCAGTGCAGGTAACCTTAACAGTGGAGAATGCGCAGAGGACCTTGGCCCGGAGAGTTCACAGCTGCTGCTTCCCAGCAGCCATGGCGAAGGTGGGAAGCGGTGGAGCAGGTCCCCGAGTCAGCGGGCAGACAGGGCTCCAGGGAGCACTGCAGGCACCCGGGACTGCCATCGAAGGAGCAGGAGAAAGGCCTGCAGCGCCGCTGCCCCCACACCTTCCCTACAAGGGGGCGCTGCTGGGCCTGCCTTCCTGCATGCTGGCTCACTCCTTCCCCTGCCTCTGCCCTGCTTTTGTTAACTTTTTATTTTATTCCCCTAAATTAATGTTTGCACTTCTGTCTTGTTTGTAAATAGTCACCTAGAAGTGTCGGGGAGGAGCAGTCCCTTTTACATCCAGCTGCGGCCGCCATTGAGGGCAGACTGAAGTCAGGAGCCTTTCGCCGCTCCCTCCCAGGGCCACGTCTTTCTTGCTGCCTGTTCTTTCTAGGTGTAAGACACTGAGCCCGGACGCTGCCCTGGGCCTTGTCCTGGAGATGGCTGATGAATCCTTTCCCTTCCTGGAAAAATTTTCTCTGTCAAAAAATGAGGATGAAATGCTATTTTGGTTTTTTTTTTTTTTTTTTTTTTTTGTCTTTTTCCTTTTTATCCGTACTGGGGATTGAACACATGACTACCTGCTTGCCAGGCAGGCGCTTACGCTGCTGAGCTAAATCCCCAGCCCCATATTTTGGTTCTTTGTCATCGGTGCTCATTTTCTGTTGGTTTGTCTTTCCTCAGTCTCACGCTGTGGCCATGGACTTCACTGAGTCTGTGGTGTAACGTCGCACGTTGTCAGATCCCTTTGCCATCCCGTGCCTGTGGTAAACCACCTGCCAGCTTGTTTTCCTTCCCATCCTCTTGCAGCTACCTTTAATATTTCAGCATATGTGAAAGCAGACGTAAAAAGAAAAAGTGATGGCTTATGTCATTTTCCACTGAACACAACACAAATACTCCTCTCGTATATTCCACACCTGACAGTTTTGCTCGTGGTTGTACTTTGTCTTAGATCCTGCCTCCACATTATGACAGGATACTGTGTGTTAGTCTGAGTTTGAATGTGCCCTTTTCCTGTGGAGTGCACAGCAGCTGGCTTGCGTCCCGGTTCATTTCCCCTGCCGCAGGGGCATGCCGTGCCCGCGCTCACCCTTCGCTTCCTGCTGCTGCCGTCATGGGAGAGCCTGCCTGCTCCTCGGAGCTCATTATTCTGTCCTCCAGCGCTGAATCAAACCAGACTGGCTTGCAGTCACATGAAGCAGCGGCTCCTTGCTAGGAACATGGGTCGTTGTCTGCAGACCATTTGCTTGTTGAGGTGCTGTAGGATCTCGTGGACAGAGGCCAGGGGTACCGTCACCCTGTCCACGCTTTGCACAATAGCCTGATGCGAAGAATTACTGGGTCCAGTGTCAGCAGAGGCCTGGAAACCCTGCTTCACAGCAGGGTCTTGGTTCTCCTGCACATAGTATGTTTCTTCGGTTGCCAGAGCTGCTCTTTGACCTTTGCCTTAAGTCTCAAGTTCTTTGAAAAACGCTGTGCCAAACTGCGCTAAGTGTCTGGACTGATAATCGCACTGGCCTGCGGGCTGGGTTTGCAGGTCCCGTAGTGCTCATTCGCTCCTGAGCGGCAGAGGGTGCTGCTCCGTTTGAAGAACTGTTGCTCTGGTGGTTACAGGAGAGAGTCGTTAATAGATTTCAGCATGGAGTTGTCTCTAGTTTTCAAATATGGAACCTAACTGTCCACACAAGCATCCGCTGTGTATGTGTGTAGACAAAGTTACTAATTTGTGCTTTGTCCCTTCATCTTGAAGTGCTCCCCAGGGAGCCCCGCCTTTGGTTGTTGCTCTCTGTTTTATTACTTTTTCCTCTTGGGTTTTCTTTTCTTTGAATATGTAGGGTGATGTTTTTCATTCTTCCTGACAAGGCATTCAAAGCTATGAATTTTTTTTTTAGCTACCATGTTAGGTAAACTTCAGTTTTTGTAATGAACAGTATCTGAGTATTTAAATTTTTCATTAAGATGCCTTATTTTATAAACTTCATTTTTAAATAAGGATACAGGAAAAACTTCAGAAAATTATTTTTCTGATATCCTTTGATTACTGATCTCTAACTCAATTCCATTATGATTGGAGAGTGGTCCCCCATCCCGTGCCCCTTACTAATTTTAGGGCAGCTAATATCAGTCTTCAAGAGAGGTGGCTTAACACCCCTCCATGGATGTTTCATTGTTGTTTTGCCAGCTTTTAAAGCAGCCAAAAATACTGTCACCCAGAATTTCTCAGTCTTATGGGTAAAACCAGTCCTGAAAATTCTACTCTTTACCTAGGGTTGTTTTCAGTTCCCCAAACCCTCCCCCCCCCCCATTTTTTTCCTTAATGTACCTCTTAGCAGTTTTTCTCTTAATTAACCCTATCATCTTTCTCCTTAACTCACAGGCCTGGCTCATTTGCAGGTAGTGATTACTAACGTACCTAGTGCTGTCTTCTTGAGCTTTTTAGTCTAATTTTTCTTCTTTTTAAAACATTAATACTCCTGTCCTCTGCAGGAAGACATAGGAGCCTCTGTGCCTTGCAAAACTGAAGTCAAAGCACAGGGCCCAAAAGCCAGAGACCAAACTGAAAGGCTTCCATAGCTACAATAAGGACACCCCAGACGCAAATCTGGCCGTAGGCCATCCACGTTCCCGCAGTCTGCTGATCAGAGCTCGATGAGGGCCCTGCCACGCCCCCCCCCAGGAGTGAGCCCCAGGCCGAGCAGCCCTCCTGCCCGCACGACAACTGTACTCCAAGCATGGTCCATGGAGAGGGCAAATGTGATCTTCACCACACCCCGCAGAAGAGGAGCGCAGCCCCTCAGACCTCGCCCTTCCTGCATGCACAACAGGGCTCACCAGCTCCAGGCACCCCTTGCCTCCCTGTCTCCCCGGACTGCACAGCGGTCACATCCTGCCTTTCCTGCTTGGCCCCACGTTTTCAGTTTATGCTTATCATGCTTACACTTAGCCTTTCATCCTGGGACTCATCTTGTTTGGAATGTATTTTACTTTCTAAATCCAGGCCCCTAAATTTATCTATTTTGGAAAATAATTGGCCTCTCAATATAATTGTTCCTCTGATTTTTTTCATCTGTGAACACAGTAAGCCTTTGCATCTTAGTCCGCTGCTGTACTGTAAAAGTGATTTGCTATTATCTAGTTCAGTAATTTTGGTCAGCTCTGCTCTGATCAAATTTTAAGTTATTTGGCCCATTTCAGACACTAGATCTGACAGTCTCTTGTGTTCTGGTCCCTGAAGTTCCTGGAAGAGGACAGGACACCAAGCCCACGTCCGTACTGCTCACTCTCACTCACAGGCAGTGGCTTTCTTATGTGGGCGAGTTCTGGACTGAGTCGGAACAGGGTTTGCACCGAGTTTATACCCATGACACGTAAGATAAGGACAACTGTTTATAGAAACAGCTCACATTTGCTTCAGCCAGGCACTGTTACACCTGGAAGGACTTGATTGGCTTGTGGGTCTCTGGACCAGAAAGAAAGTTGACAGGTCAGCTCCAGATCGGGAAGGCACAGCCTGCCATTTAGCGGTGCGCGCGGCTCTCCTCCTCGTGGCCCCACCGCCAGCCTGCAGATGCTCACATCTGTGCTGGTGCCAGACCCAGCCCACCCCTGCAGGGCGCATGCGTCACTCAGAGGTGACTTAGGACAGATTTAGGTGGATTCTGCTGCCCTGCTGAATGCAATCAGCCTGGCATGTGAAACGCACCTTTTAACTGTGCTGCACTTCTGTCTGCAGAGCCCATGGGCAGCATGTCCTCCATGGAGGTGAACGTGGACATGCTGGAGCAGATGGACCTCATGGACATCTCCGATCAGGAGGCTCTGGACGTCTTCCTAAATTCAGGTGGCGAAGATAACACCATGCTGTCCCCTGGTCTAGGTAGGGGCCACCAGTGTACGTGAATCAAGCCAGTACTTAGTGACATTCATTGCATTTGAGCGGATACCGTATACAGATCTCTAAGCTCATCTTGACTCCTCACACTGCCCAGGGCCCGCAGGGAACAGGGCAGGGCCTTCCCAACCTGCCTCCTCTCCTCTGGCCTGGGGATAACTGTGGCTTTGTCATTGTAAAGCTCCTGCCTTCCTCAGCACCTCAGTGAGGAGCAGTTTCACTGTGCCAAGGCCGCCACAGGTGCTCAGAACTCTGCCACTCAGAATCCACCTTGTATCCTCCGGAAACTGTCCCCCATTCAGTCAGCGAGGGTTTGCGGAGGCGCCACCAGGCCAGGCCTCACTGACCTGAACCCTCACTGCATTCTTTCTGTCGGGCTCTGTAACCTCCCCGTCTGGGCTTGTAAATTGCTCCCCATACGTGAGTAAAAGAGCTAAGCTCAGTGCTCCTCGTGCCACCTCAGGAAAGTCCCCAGCACCAGACCCTAACTCCGTGTCTCCCGTCTGGCATGTGTGAGCGTGGGGTCCTCCCAGGGAGGCAGTGGTCTGCATGTACTGTCTGTCCTATCCTGCATGGGTTAGAAGTGAGGCTGGTCCCCTCTGGGGAGGAAGGGAGACAGCAGAGTTGACTCTGCGTGCTGTCATTCCAGGAAGAAGTTTAGTTCCACGACACTGGGAGATGCCGAGTAGTCACCAGTTCCAGCTGTGGCTTTGCACTGGGGTCAGTCCCCACCTTTGGTGCTGCAGCACCTGGTCTGGACGTTAGGGTCCCAAAGCTGGCTGGGCCAGAGTCGAGCAGCTGAGGGCACTCAGTGGCAGGTCCTCAGCACTGGGCACTGATAGCAGCTGTCACCAGGCCGAGCTCCACCTCAGTCTTTTCCTGACAGATGTGCCCCTTGTTTTATTTCACAGGGCCTGAATCCGAAACCTGTCAGAACGAAATCACCCTTCAGGTTCCGAATCCTGCAGACTTACCTCCCAAGCCACCTTCCTCCCCGTTTGCCTGCAGTGACACTGCCACCCAGGATGCCGAGGGTGGGGATGGTCCCCTGGTCCAGGCAGATGAGGAGGAGGTGCAGGTGGACACTGCCCTGGCCACCTTCCACACTGACAGAAAGGCTGCTTCTGACGTCAGTGGGGACAGTGACTCGAGTCACGATGTCTGAGTGGAGCAGCCTGGGTTTTACGGTTGCCGGGGACGTGTGAGAGCGGCTGAGAAGCGTGCACAATAAAGCTTGAGGACTGTGAACCCCGAGTGCGTAGCTGCTTTGTGCACTGGCGTCTACTTACAAGGGTCCCAAGGCCGCGTGAGTACGGGGGACAGGGAAGGGACTGGACGGGGCGCTGGGCTGAGTTCCTGGGTGGCCGGGCCCAGGAGCTGTGCAGACGGAAGCAGTGCTCCACCTGCCCCTCGCGGGGAACCCTGCCAGGCTTGGTTTCCATCTGGCTGAGGCCTGGGTTCAGCTGCACAGCCTCAGCGCGCCAGCTCCTCCCTGCCCTCGGTGGACGCCCAGCCCCTCCCATCCACTCATCTTCCACAAGACAGACAAATGTCCAAAAAATTTTGTTTTTATTATTAAACCTTGTAGTACAAACCTGAAAAGTAAACAAAAACTGGCAATAAACCACATGAAGTCTTCCCTCACAAGGAGGGGTGCAGAGCAGCGCTAATAAATTAAATGTCAAACTGTAAGCCATAGGCGGAAGTTTACTGTCAAAAGAGGGAAAAGTACACAGCAAGGCCATAAAAACCGGACAACCACATTGGAAAACACTTGACTGTTTATGTAATTGTTAAATATTCCAACAGTTCAGTCTTCTGCAACAACAACCAACAAAGTGGATCCTAGGACGCTCCTGGCCGTCACCACCGGCAAGCTCAGTGCAACATGGGTAGCTACGGGGTCGATGAATCCATTTATGAAACAAAGAACAGCTTGTGAAAACAATTTCCCTTTTTTATTCCACACATACTGTACACACAACCGGAGAAGGGCAACAGCTACTCCATTATTATTTTGTTGTTGTTGTTCAGTGATGTAAGCAGCACTTATAAATGTTACAAGAAAAACCCTGTAAGCATCCGATCCACCCGATGAAGAAACTGAAGTGTAAGGCTTTTCTTCATCTGTCTTTCACCTCCCCTCCCCTCCGAGAAAGGCTCAAGTATTTAAAACAATTTACAGGCGTATGTACAAAAGGGATGGGATTTTTTTTTCTTTTTTCTTTTTGTTACAACATGGAGAGAAAAAAATAGATGAGCGCAAATGCATTTTCACATTCAAAAAGAACTGCAGACCTCCTAGTGGCTCTAAATGTGATCATAAACAAAACAAATTTTAAAAAAAGATTAATGCTGACTTGTGAAGGTGTGAAACAAAGCAGTGAGATGAAGATGGAATGTCGGAAAGATTGCACGTCGATGACAAAGAAGCACTTGTGGCTTCCATCGTTTTTTCCTTAAGGATGCTATTGAAGGGTTTTTGATAAAGTAGCCAACAGCACCAAAAAATAACAGAATGGATTTCCTAATGAAACCAGGCACAGGTCTCCGTCAGTGACCCTCCAGGCAGGCAGGCAGGCAGGCAGGCAGGCAGGCTGTCTTGTCCCCGATGCATAGTGATCCGGCTGCTCACGAGAACCTGGTCACGCCAACCTCCGCCTCCAGCTGCCGTAACCGCCACGCACGCGGCGGGCCTCTCCGGTCTGAAAACACGAACTCATCTCGCACATGACAGAAGAAAAGACAGCCAAAGTAAAGCCATTTCTTTTCAAGTTTTTTCTGTGTGTGTGTGTGTGTCTGTGTGTGTCTCCTATCCCTTTTCTGATCTAGAAAAATCTGCTCACATGACTTGATGGATTTAAAATTTGTTCTCCAAACTTCACCCTCTTCAAAAATGGGTTAAAAAGCCTTTTTTCCCCAACAATTATAAAAAAAAATTAAACAAGAAGGGCTTCTGTCAGCCATATAGGGGCAATACAAATTAATATAGCCCCCAAGGGTTTTTAAAACAGTGAATATACGGCAGTTTCAAAAATCTGACTGCAGTGTCTAGGTATTCTAAGTACAAAAAAAAGTTCCAACAGTTTAATGCTAAAACAAAATTAGTTCTCTAAAACCAGAAGAAAATCTTCTTTAGAGCTAGTGCAAAGACAGCTTGTATCCTACAGCAAGTACTCCAAACTAGAATATAATAATTACAAAAAAATATATATAAATCGACCATGGGGTTGGCGTCTTCATGATGAGCTCGAAGCACTTTTGGAGGACCCGGAGGCTGACAGCCGCGATGGCGGCACGTCCACGGTGGCTCTCTTGCGGGGGCCTCGTTTTGGTGTGGGTTTACTGAGACAGTTCTCAATGCTGCCGTTCTTGCCAGACACTTTGCCACAGATCTGATTGACGAGACTGATGATCTGCTCCTGCAGGGTGGAGGGGAGATGTGAGTTAGGGGTGAACTGGAGCCCCCTGAGGTCCACCCCGGCAGGGCGCCAAGCTGGCTGCCTGAGGTTCCAGAAGACGTGTGGCAGGCAGCACCAGCAGTCCCAAGGGCTGCAGAACAGCAGCGACGGCCTCCCTATCCCTTCACTGATGTGCACCACAGCCGTGGGGGAGGACTCCAGGGTGAACCGGGTGGGGGACACCTCCCGCCAACAGCTGGCTCAGCCCGGAGCTACAGCCCGCAGAAGAGGTCATCGAGTCAGGTGGAAAGAGAGCTGTCCCAGACTGTAAGATGACCGCTAGAAAGGGCTCAAGGCAGCACAACGGCTCATGAGGCATGGGCCCAGCCTCAGCCAGGACGTCCTGGGGCCAGTTTCAGCCTGCGATACAGTCCCCTCCTTTCTTAGTTAATCTGGACAGGCGCTGAGGACCCTGGGGAGCAACACCTTTGCCCTATACTACGGGCCCTGTGCCCAGCTCGGCCACTGGCTCGTGTCCAAGAGAGTCTGGGCAGGGGGCTGGGCCCAGGTTGCTGCAGGTGTCCTTTCCCCTGAGCCAGGGCCACCATCTGTAGATGTGGCTTGGCCTAGCCAGGAGGGCACTGCTAGCTTCCCGTTGGGAACAGCCCAGAAGCTGCCAAACCTACTGTGCATGACAGGCCACCAAGGAGTGGCACTTCTCATGGCAGGGGCCACCCAGCTCCTCAGGAGGCACTTTAAGGTCTGCAAAGTGGGAGCAACTGAGAGTTGCTTCCTCACATCAGCAGCGGAGCATGGCAGGTGGCAGCTGCTGACTGCCCCAGCCAGTGTGGCCCACATGATCCTGCAGGTGGAGTCCTGCTGCCAGGGAATGCACGCTCAGGAGCAAAACCACTATATGACAGGAGGACAGAACCTGGCCGGAGGTGGCATGGACAGGAAGGGAAAACCAGAATAAGCCCAAATCTGTATCTCGAGGTTCCGGCCAGGTCAGTGTGCACAAAAGCTGTTGAAGCCATCATGTCCTCCAGTCTCCCAGGTTTGCCACTGCTCCAAGCTGCTGGAGATGGCTGCTGTCTGTCACCCACTGCCTGCCTGCCACTGACCTCGTCATAGCGGTACATCAGCTTCAGCCCGCGGCAGGACTTCTGCTTTTCCACATGACGCAGGGCGCACTCCAGGCAGAACACCACGTTCTCATTCTCCTGCACCACCTGCGGGGGGCAGGCACAGCTGAGCCAGGGCAGGGGACACAAAGTGCTAAAATGGGCTAAGAAACTGAGTAGACCCTTGGGTCCAAGTAGGGTCTCTGGGAGTGGGTGTGAGAGCTGGGCCAGAGGACAACAGGCTGCTGCAACCACGGGGCACCCGGCTTGTTACCCTCGCTCTGAGCAGTGCAGCCACAAGCAAGAGCTATGACCCTCATGTCTCCCCTAAACTCGAGTGACTCCAGCCCTCAGCACTGGGAGGACATGTGTCTAGTCACCCAGCCCACCCCTCCAGTGGAGACAGCACAAAGCCATGGGGAGCACGAGGGGTAGGGGACAGTGGGACAGCAGCCTCAGTGGAGCCAAGAGACAGACCAGCAGCCTGCCTAGGGCGACAGGGTACCCCACTGATGGTGAGAAAGAGGACACACAGTGTCTCTGTGCAGGTGCCTGCGGGCACAGGCGTCTGAAGAGGAGGGAAGACCTGGGCTCCTGTGTTCCTTAGCAAAGGGCAGGACAGACTGTGGAGGCAGGGAAATGACACAAACACTACCACCATCTCAGAACCCCGCAGGGGAAGGACAGAAGAAACCAATCAAAAATGCACAAACACACTGGTGACCTGGAGAGAAATGCCAGGAGACAACTCTGTAAGCACAGCTTTGTGAAGGCCATGTGACAAGGCCCCACCCACGGCCAGCCCAGGAATCCCAGGGATGGCCTGTGTCACTCATGGTCATCACACAGCCACTGAGGAACAGCCAGGCAGACAGTACTGAGTCACTCCCGAGAATGACAGTATCACTCTGGGTGGCAACCTGACAGCTCTGGGGGACAGAGGGAAGGACGCAGAAAGCACTGTGTGTTGGTGGGTGAGGGGAGGCGCTTGCCAACTGGCATCCCAAGCAACTGCACTTGCAGGGGCCTCAGGTAAAACAGGGCCATCGTGGATACCAGCCCCTCTCTGCCTTGTGTGCACAGGCAGACAGAGACAGAGTGACCACGTGGGGATGGGCTGAGCAGGGGCTGCTGCAGGCAAAGGAGGATGAACACGGGAAGAAGGTGCCCTGGGTGTCCGGGCAGGGCTCCCTGCTTCCCTGGAAATGCCTGGACCCTTCACATGTCCCAAAGAGCCGTGCTGGGCCACGAAGCGGTGAACTGCAAGCAGCAGAGCCACACGTGCAGTCTCAGTGGCTGAGCTGCTGGCCCTGAGGGCGCAGAACGGGTGGAGGAGGGAGTGGCCAGGCTGTGTGAGACAGGCTCAGCAGAGCTAGGAGAAGCAGCTGCAGCCAGCGGGGGAGATGAGCAAGGCTACAAGTAAGGACCAGAGCAGCCTCAAGAAATCCAGGTCTAATTGAAGGCCAGTGTCCTTGGGGACTGAATAAGGGGACCCCAGGGAAAGAGCTGAATCTTGGGGCAGCAGTGGATGGGAGGTGGCAACAGGGCTGGTGGGTGGCCCCAGCTCACCATGGACAGATAGCACAGGTGCTGGCAGATCTGACACCGCCTCTCTGACGTCTCCAGCTGCAGCCACTTTCGAGGCTTTTTCTTCCCATCCGCGGCTGTGCTGCTGCCATCGTGGCTGCCGTATCGTGCGGACGAGTGCAGGCCGGCCTCGAAC